CTGGGTCCCCGAAATGCCCCCATCTGCCGCCGCAGCCTCCCGGTGCCTCCTCTCCCCCACCTCCCAGACTTGTTTGCAACACAGCGGGCCCCTCAGATGCCAACAAGCACTGCGTCGCCTCCAAGAATATGGAAAGTTACTCACGTCTCCACTCTGATTCAAGGCTGGAGGAAAACTGCGGACGGCCACTACTCTCCGTATTCAAGCGAAAATTCTCAGCATACCACATCACTCACCTCCTCTCCTGTGTGTTCACGTCCTCCTCGCTGCGCTCCTGTCTTTTTTCTCCTCCCCTCCGTTTTCTCTCGGCTTGTTCCTTTTCTCCTCCCTCCCAGATGCCGCTGGTCTCCGACAGGGGGAACCGGGGGACGCTGCTCCGGAAGCAAACGCTCCTCTGTGATTTTTTTTTTTTAAACTCCCTTTACTGTCTACAGCATGATGTTAGCCTGTTGGTATATTGGTGCTACAAAAGACTGTATTAAAGGGAAACACACTTAAATTAAGTATTCAAATCCTTTATTTCCATGGCCTAGGAAAGTTCAGTCAGTATTTAGTGAGTAACTCTCTCTTTCAAGTCTCACACTCGTGATGTCATAGAGGAAAAAGTCTGAAGCTGCTCCACAGACAATGACTGGGAGCCTGATTTTGTGGACCCACAGAATGTCTGTTTTCTTTTTTTTTTAGACCCAAAATCATCTTTATTATATTGTAGTGATCTCAGTTCTGACACAGACAATGTACCCATATACTCAGAACATTCTCCTGGCTGCTCTCAGGGTCATCTATAACATCTTTCCCATTTCACTGTCTATGGAGCAGCTCCAGACTTTATATCCCATGATTTTGAAAAGAGTTTGAAAATGGGTGTAGTTCTCCTGTAATATAGCTTATTGAAGAGAAGGTCATTATACTGAAAGGCATCCACAAATTTGAACGTTTTCTATGCTTTGGGAAGTTTTTCCCAAGAAAATGAATTATTCTTAAACATAGTCTAGATGATAATGATAATAACGACAATAATGGTGATGATGATGATGATGATGATGATGATATGTAACCTTTATTTAAGCAGCTCTCTTTTACAAGGACAGGCTGACTACAGTACATATAAAACAGGAGTGTCCAAACTTTGCTGAATGGGGGCCAGATTTGAAAATGTGAAAATACCTTGGGGGCAGCTGCTTCTCACATCATATGGGTTATTTTAAAAAATCACAAACAAATGCTATAAACACAACTGTTTTATCTTTTAGTGGAAAAAGTATTCAACCTCCCACTGCTCCAGAAAATAGTGGCCCTCACTGTCACATTATGCTTCTTTGCTGTGGTCATGTCTGCTACCTAGTAGGACAAATCTGCTGCTAGGTCCATTAGTTTGCTTGTTTATTGTCTTTTCATGAAAACACATTAGTTCTGCCTGTACAGCTGCTGCTTGGTGCATCTCTACAAACTATATCATAGTGTTGCCAGGCCCCCTGGCCACATTGTGGACATGCCTGATAAAAAACAGTAGGAGCACACAGAAGTTACAGTATAAATCAATAGATTATAAAACAATAGAAAAATCCAAAGGTTTCAATATGTAAGGACATGGACATCAACATACAGTAGGGCACAACACCAATTCACAGGAAACACATGCATTCACACTGCTCAGGGTCAGTCAGAAGGGATTTAGACTGATTAAAAGGTGTTAGTTTATCTAATTTTACAAGCTTCTGCAGATTGTTCCACTTGTGTGATGCGTAGAGAGTTTCCTGGTCTCAGAATGAACATGATGATTTTCTATAACCAAATAGTCTTGGGACCTGGCACAGTGTGAATTAGTTCTGTAGGTTAAAAGACGTGAGATACTCAGGTGGTTTGCCAAGAAGTGCTTTATAAATAAATAGTATGCAGTGCTGATTGCTTTTCAATGCCAACGACTTCCACCCAACTTTCTTATGTAATAAACAATGATGTGATGATGATGATGATGATTAAAATAAACCTATTAAACGTTATTATTTTTTTTAATTTTATATACTTTATTAACCCCCCTGAGGGGAAATTCCCTGCAGACCAGAAAGGTAGAAATGGGATACAGATGAGTAGGAAATATATATAGACTACAGATTGCAGATGGGTTAGAGATCAATAAACAATACTTTACCCAAGGCCAGTGTGATAACTATGTGCAAAATCAATAGTGTCGTCCGTGGTAATCCAGACCAAAGTGATACAATAAATATAGGTATATTAGAAATATATGTATAAAGTTGTATTCATGCATAATCAGAACAAATAACTAGAACCACTGTGTTAATATGTGATATATAGATATGTAATATATAAATAAATACAAGATGACAGAATGCAGCATATACACAGTAGCTATAATAATGATGAGACATGATGTAAAAATGTAGTGTGAGTGCTACAACAGAGGAGTATGGTGGTAATTTTGCAATTAATTAGCTGTTATAAGATCAGTTATGTACAAGGGGGATAATGTTACTGTATTGTGTTGTGCTATGGTTTATTCCATATATTATTTAAAAGGGCAGAAACAACCAAATTCGTCCGATGGTAGATTGAAATTTCTTTCAAAAAATCGAAACAGTCACACTGGGTTAATAGAAACACTATCATACCATCATGATGTGGTCACTTACAAACCCAAAGTGCTGCCATCAAATAACAAAACATCAGCCTCGAGATAAACATTATTAACAGTTTGTTCTTATTGTTATAACTCAGTTTTCTACCTAATAATACTCATAATGTAAGACCATCCAGGAAATACATTTAAAGCAACATTCATATTTGATTTTTCAGTGTCTGTTGTCCACTGATAACTACAAACTGAACAATGCAAAGCCTCAGCACATGGCAGCATTTGGTAGGATTCAGAGTTGCAGCTATTGAAATCAAATCACATGGGACAACTGAAATAGCAGTTAGACTGAAATGAGCACATCTATTGTTTGGGGAAATCTCATTCAACGGAATTTGCTGTGTAAGCTTTGCAATGCCAAAAAACAAAACAAAAACAGTGTGTAGGGCCTAAATGAATGTGTAGATCAGTATCTTCCTTGCATAAAGAGGAACCAGCTTAAAACTGCTCAACATTATACTTATGAACAAACTTAACAGTATTCATGCCCCAACAGGCTTGAATAGATGCATTGTGTGCACTTGTGGTAAATGTTCTTCTAAGACAGAAATGTGCATTTGTCCTGCCTTAATCGTGCTGAAAAGAGAGTTGCATCAAGTCTAATGTGGTCACAGTCTCAGAACACTTTAACGGCATTTAGCATTTTATTTTAGTCCATTCTGGAGTTGCATATGAAATAATTAATTGGATTACGTTAGAGCAACTTTCAAGTCTCTGCAAGATGATTTTCATATTATACAGAAACGAATGGGAAGCATTCAGTGCCTGGAGGGGAGGAAAGTGATTAAACAAATTGCCAACTATGCCTTTGCTTTGAAATGTAATTGGCAACATTGTTACATGACTTGTAATTAATGGTCTAAAAGTGCCAAATCACAAAGTATAAACTGTTTAAACGTGTTGAAATCTGAATGGACTGCAGGCATATTGGTCTAGCTGAGTGTAGGTGCAATGTGGCGCATTAAGAAGATGCAAACACTCAACGTGTGCATGATAAACACACCACATATTAATTTTTTAACTTTGACTGAAATACTTCATGGAATTTAGTCGAGACACTTTACCTTGTGATTTTGATGACCTGCTTACCTTTCCTCTGGTAGTATTAACTCTCAGCTATACTTTGCAGTTATTGCTCAACCATGCTGCATATGATAGTTAACATTAAAGTGTCATAACATGCAGGAAGTCTGGTGTTAAACTTATTGTTGTTTGATTTCTGATGCAAACTGTTGCCCACTGATTAGAAGAGACTGCAGTGCTCTATAGTCAATATCCTCTTTTGTGAAAGAACATGAATTTTCCGATATTTATTTGATTTATATTAATATCTTAAATAGATGTGGTGTCATAAACAATAATCAACAATATATAAGTATATATCACAAACATTTATGTGGTGTTAAGTATGCATATAAGTCTGTGGAATAAACGCTCCATAGCGCAATACAGTCTAATGAAATGGCGACACCTGGTGGTTACACCTGTTTACTGCATTATGTGTTACACGCTATTGACGACATACACGGGTTCCACTTTTGTTTAGCCCCTATTGTAGCACGACGACCAAAACAATTGCACAACACAGATTTAAACAACATTTTACACATGTTGGCCTACACTCAGAGGCGTAAATATCAACAGTGCAGGCAGGGCAGTTGCTCTGGGGGCCATGGGGCCCTCCAACAGTGTGTTGGCCAGAGAGCAGGCCCTTGTAGCTCATTCAGATTGCCTTCTCAGAAACACAGAGAACAGCTCATGTTAATTTAAAAAAGTGGGACCAAGTGCCTTATGCTGTCATAAAGGCAAACCCATTTCCATCATGACTTATTTGTGTGTGTGCGTGTGTGTGTGTCTGTGTGCGTGTGTGTGTGTGTGTACAGTACAATTATATGTTTACTTTACATAAACTATAAAGCCACAAATAAACTATAAAATATATTGAATTGAATGGATACTATATTTTATTGGACAATTTTGTAATGTGCAGATTTGTACTGTTGATTACTGAGTAATATGTATGTTGATGTTGTCCAATGTCAAGTCAGGTTTGGATGCAAAATCTTGCACTAGGGCCTATCCTAACAACCAAGCGCCACTACCTACATGTAGTATTATCCCAACATTTCACTCTACAACAAATAAATCTCTGCAAAAATATTGTGGAATACTGGATATTACAACGCCATACACTTGCTGGAAATGTGTTTAAATACATGCTCACATAAAGAGATATTGTTTCTTCCTCTCGCCTCCACCTCTGAGCTGTATCTCCTCCAGCCCGCCAGGTGGCGCTGTGCTGACATCGTCACCGGCTGTTGACCAATCATCGGTGCCCAGCAGTTTGAACGAGAAGCGGGTCCAGCGGGTTCATTCGGGGAAATAATGAGCGAGATATACAAAAGATAGAAAGTGACGATTTCAGTCATGGATATGAGTTTAAACAGCCATATGAATGGAGTTTCAATGAGTTTCGTCGGTCACCGTTGATAAGTTGTAACGCGTTGATATATTAGCACCGTTAGCTAAAGGTCGAGCTGTCTGGCTAAACTTTACTGACTGATGACAACGTTGCTCTCATCTGGATTTATACCGTTAAATGCTTTTGAACACTTCTCTGCCCGTTTGTATGACATAGGTTTGGCTTATTGGCACGGTAATAGCTGTAATTTCAACTATGAAGCCGTTATTTTTGAAGACATACGGTAAGGGGAGGCGAAAGCTGTCCGCCTGGGTCTCGCCTGAAAACCGCAAACAGGCCTTCGACAGCTCGCGCTCAACAGAAAGCGACATCTCTGTGTTTGAACCAGCAAAACCTACCAGAGTGAGGTATGTCAGGTCAGAGCACCACTGGGTATGTTAGAGTCTATACAGGTGAGAAGAGTCCCGTCATCCTGGTGGCTGTCATTCTCCCTGTTAATGGGTCGTGTCATTTCATGAGGCTCTACACTTAGGTTTTAGGGTAACTTTGCATGGCAAGGAGTAACATACAGTGAAAAATGTATTAATATGAGGAAAGAGGAAGGTATACATTTAATATATAAAAAGGGAACTAACAAGTGCATGAACATTTCCATACAGGGGTGTCTGAACTTGCTCACGAGATATCACTTTAGTCACATTGGACAGCACGGATTTTTGGCTATACTGTGATTTTTAAAGGCATCTCAAGTTATAGCCTGACCCATCATTGATATATCAGTATGGTTTATATTATTATCATATTTTTAGCTTAGCACAGATATGTAGCTACATGTATCAGCTGACACAGTACACCTACTGTATGTTGGCTGTTAAGCCAAACAAAACTGCAGTACAGTCAATCTTGTGACAAGTTTCTCAGCTGCAAAATGTCCAGCTCTGTTCTTTCCTGTTCAAATGTAAGGGATCATTTAAAAATGTGTGTTTATGTTATGTAAAAAAAAAAAAAAAAAGGAAAACAAAGAATATTGGCCAACATATAATTATAATTAAACTGTCAGAAAGCAATGTATCTATTTGTATCTGGCTCAAAAATCCATCACTCAGGCTGTTTTTATACAAACCCCTGAAAGGTATATTTAGCCTGGTAAAACCATCCTGATGAGGTGAGCTCAATATTCTGTATCAGAGAGTGAAACAGAATGTTGAGCTCACCTCATCAGGACGGTCTCATTAGGTATATTGCCATAGACAGTGCCAAAAGTGTGAAGATATTTAAGATAGATTGGATCAGTGATATGTACAACCCTGATTCCAAAAAAAGGTGAGACATTGTTTAAAACAGGAATCAAAACAGATTGTAATGATTTGCAATTCCTTTTCGACTTACATTCAATTTAATACAGTACAGAGACAAGATATTTAATGTTCAAACTGATACTGTTTTTTTTTTTTGTTTTTTTTTTGTCCAGACCCACTTAATCTTAATTGTATATTTGCCACATCTTCCAAAAGTTGGAAGAGGCAACAAGGGACTAGGAAAGTTGTGAAATGCTCAAAAAACAGAACACTTGTTTTTTAGTTATGTTTTACACAGCATCCCAACTTTTTTAGAATCGGGTTTTACACAATTTGTTTACTAGGGCTGCCACTAACGATTATTTTCATTGTCGACTAATCTGTCAATTATTTCTTCGATTAGTCGACTAATCATTTCATCGAAAAATGTGTTAAAATGTTGAAAAATGTCGGTCTGTCTCGCCCAAACCCCAAAATTACGTCATCTAATGTCTTGTTTTGTACTCACGCCAAAGGGTTTTAGTTCACTGTCACGGGAGAGTGTGTAAAGCTGCCAATATCTGAACGAAAGAAGCTGCAGTAAGAGTATTTTGGGGTACTTTTATAGTGCTTTTCTATGAAAAATGACTCAAACCGATTAGTCGACTGCTAAAATAGTCACCGATTATTTTAATAGTCGATTAGTCATCGATTAGTCGACTAATCGTGGCAGCCCTATTGTTTACACAGAGAAATACTCCACAAACAATGCCACTGTGTGGAGATGGTGTATTTAAGTTTACAGAGATGGGTTGGCTACCAAAATACCCAAGACAACGATTCTAGGCAAATTGTTGTTCAAAGCTTTTCCAAACCTAACTGGCTCACGTGTCCAGTATCATACTGCACCTAACGTGTTCATCCGTTTCGCCTGTTGCAGACAGAGGAAGACCAGTGTTGGAAGTCGTAGAGCGGGGCGTCCTGCTAAGACAAAAGCCATGCAATGTCTGGCTGAGAACACCTTTGATGAGGACTACATCCCCTCTCCTCCCTGCCCTCATCCTGCTCAGCAGAGCAAGACAATCAGGTCTGTAGATAACATGCAGCTCGCAATTTTGAGAGATGTCATTATTTCATTAATATGCATTTAGTAATAAGTAAACTGGTGATATCTAACCAATTATAGATTTTTAAAATGACAATAACTTATATAATACATTACTAATCAGATTTCATTGTACTTTAAGATTTAGTTAATCATGCCAATTGCAGATTTGACATAATATCCGTGAGTTTCTTTACATCATTTAATTTCTTAACATTTTTTTCCTGACCTAATTGCTAATGCTCCATATCCTCACTTGCTCATTTGTTGGTCCTAATCTTTTCTTTATTATCAGAGCGAAGAGGACTAGTGTTGCCTGTGATAGAGCAGTCCGTCCTGCCAAGAGAAAAGTGGCATTATGTGTGACAGACACCAGCAGTGACGAGGAGAACATCAGACCCTCTCCTCCCTGTCATCAGCCTGCTCAGAGCAAGACAGCCAGGTCTGTGCACAAACATGCGTGAGCAGAACACATTATGGAAGCACAGAGGATTTTCAGCATGTACAGAGTTTTGTGGTTCTGTGTTGTTGTTGTTTTTTTTTTTTAACGTTACTACAACGGTGTCTGTCAGGAGACATTTGACATCATTGGCAGTACCAGGGCTCATGCATTCAAGCAGATTCAACTGATTTAAGTTCCTACAATACCCACCATTCATTTTGAATACTGCACTTTGAGATCTCGCACCCAAGACTGCTTTTTTAAATAAATATCAAATGTCAAAATATTGACCAAAACAATACCCATCAGCAGTTAAGTATTCAAATCAAGTTTATCTTTAGTTCAAATGAAGAGAAACTCAAAGTATTCAGCCAGTCAGTCTGTTGATCCCCTCATGAATCAGCTAAAAAGTGCCTGTTACCTAATGCCTACCAGACACTAGAAGACTTTGAAAATACTTAGAATACTTTTAAAAGACTAAAGTCTCACACCCCCTCACATCTAAAGACAATGTAGGGTTTTAGTCAAACTCTGTAAGATTTTGCAAAGACTGGGGATGTTTCAGGGTCACAATTTGCAAGACTACAACTAGATTTATTTTGTGATTGTTTCCCATCCTGCTCCTGGTGTAAGACATTACACCAAACTCCCTTTAAGAAATATGACATATTAACAATTCCTCACATGTCCGTAAAAACACATAACTCTTGGAACACAAGATAAAAGTTGTCATATGTAAACAGTATTCTCATCAATTCAGCATCAGTGTAATCCATAAAGATAAACCATATTGGCACACAAACTTTACATTTTGAATTTTGCAGCCTCAGCACTCTACCAGCCTTCCTTGGTAAGCGGCACTATTTTAGTGGCAGGAGACTGTGGGAAAGAGAGGCAACCTGTTTCAAAAAATAAAGATTTCTCACTGAAATAAGTGCTGGTTGGTGAATCAGATACACAGAGAATCAAACACAGACTCTTGTTCACTCCACTACACCAGTTTCTCCTCCTTTTCCACAGTCTAAGAGAACCAAGACTTGTTCACGTTTTTACCTGGTTTGCTGCTTCCTATTTGATGCTGGAGAGAGCAGAACTATTAGTTGTTGACAATGTTTGCGTCATTGAACTTCAGTATTTGCGTGAGCCAAGACTAAAAACTTATGATATTAAAGATGTTTATTATTATCTATCTTATCAGAACGTCAAGAAAAAAAAAAGAATGACATAAGACAGCTCACGCTGTGTTTTAGAACAGCTTTAAACCAAACTATCGAGATCACAGGAGCCCACATAAACTTAGGTTAAAGGCCCATGATTTTATTCCGACATTGGGAAATTGGTTGACATCAAATTACTTTGAAAAATTGTTCAGTGTAAGGCTGGCATAAGGCTGCGTTTAGACCAAAATTGGCTCTGCTTGGAAAAATACAGCCCTCCCATTCAGCCCGTCTGGTTGAGAAAAAAGCTTTAAAAAAAAAAAGTCCTAACCTGGCTCAACTTTTGCCGCAGTGCAACACCATCAGGCAAGATGCTGGATAGGCTAGCTAAATACATGTAATTGCACACCCCAGGTGATTGCTTCGTAATATGAACAGTATTTCTGCTTTGCCTTCCATCTTGCAATCATTGCCACAAAATTATATTATTATTATAAGCCTTAAAATTTAAGCCTTAAAATGCAGTTATCTAATACCCCCATCAATGCAGCCTCCCACATGTTTTTTATTCAGAGCTTTTTTCAGTCTGAATACCTGCAAATTGTCCTCAGTAATTGCTGTAATCATAAGCTTTCTTCTTCCTTTTCTTCTTTTTCTCAGTGGTCATCCACCCTCTGCAGGCCGCTTTGTAACCCGCCGCAGACGTGCATCCACTGCCAAACCCAGACCCCCTAAAGTAACGTCTAATATACTCAACTCTTCTGATGACTTTACTTCTGGAGCCTTTGATTCCAGCAGGATTCTTCGGCCTACTAGGAGGAGGAGGAGGGCCCCCCCACCATTTGTGGTGTCAAGTGCAGAGAACTCAGCGAACACTGCAGGGACTGTCAGCTTTGCTACCAACCCCCTCCGAGAGATATCCCTCAATGAGTCGAGAGATCACAGCCTTGGACCTTGCCCCAGGAAACCCATCTTCTGCTCTACACCCTCAGCGGGCTCCCTCAGCAAACGGCCATGCCTTAAACACTTATCTATCAATGATCGATCTTCCTCCCCAAGTTGTATAGGTGTCTTGAGCACATTCCAAGAAGACGCTGATTCGCTGGAGCAGCCCATCTCCCCACCATGTTCTGCACCAACCATTGGGCTTCTACCTGATAAGAAGCCACAGTTGAGCCTTGACGGGCAAGAACCAGATGTGCATCACCATGAAGAACCTTCTGGTGATTCATTCATGGAGCCCAAGTGCACGAACAAGAGAAGTAGCTTCAGTGAGAAAGACGTAAAAACCAAGAAGGATAAAGAATTACCAAGTCTGAGTCTGCTCTCTACAGATGACAGTGGAAGCAGTAGTCATTTTGTGTCAGCTGCAGGAGGGTTAGAATGGCTAATAGAGGCTCTGAAGGAGAAATGTTTGACCGAGCGCTGCACCGTGCAGCTGGAAAGATTTGACAACCTCACCATGTCACAGCTGTGTAGTCAAACAACCTACTCATCCTGTTTGGGACATTCAAGCTCAGCCCACAGCCTGCAAACAAATGAACATCCCCTGTCTGTGCACAGCTGTCATACTAATGACGTTTCACAGTCTTCACAAACATCAGTTCATCTTCGTTTATCTGTCACAACCATGACAACCAGTGATTCTTTACAGTCAGGAAATAGTTTTGAGCCTTCTGGACACGCAGCTTCAGTCAACAGTTCACCATCAGCTGAGCAGTCATCCACACAGGAGTCCATGGAGCAGTCAGCAGTACTTTATGTTGACTCTACCCACCACACAGACAGCAGCATTGACCATATCATAGGTACAAAATTACCGGCCAACAGCTCTGTGCAAACACTGTTTGATGAAGCTGTAAAGGACAGAAGTCTTATTAAGAAATGCACAGTTCAGCTCAAAAAAATGTCTCCGTCAAAACTGAAATCTGATGTAAACAAATGTGAAAATGACCTCACACTTAACACTGAGGACCCAGGAGATCTTGCATGTGCAGAAAAAATCACTGAGAGTATGATGGCGCCTGTTAGGCAGTCAATAAACAACAGCAGTCCAGTAGCTCAGACGCAGTCTGACCCAAAAACAGGAAGAAAGGCAGCGGTGCTCTCAATGATGCTGAAGGAGAAATGTCTCACTGGCAGTGCCGTTGTTGAAATAAAGAGAGTAACTTTATCACAACTGAAAGAAAGTCTGCAGCTCAAAGACACAACACTTAAATCACCCACAGTCGTGTTGGACTCGTCGAGTGACGACCAGACAAGGAATGACTACCAGTCTGAGAGTGACACTAATCACTGCAATGAAAAAACTTCTGCCATGAAAGTCAGTAGGAAAAAGAGAGGCTCAACAAGCTCTGAGGACAAGATTGCTTCAGACAAAGAAGTAAAGAACTTTTGCAACATTCCCCACAAAAGAAAAAAGACGTCTCTGGCTCCTAAAGAAAAGAAAAGAAGGAGCACGTCCACAGACCGGCCGGGGACGACCAGGAAGGCGTGTGTGAGCGGTCTGAGCGTGAGTCGCTGGAAAAACAAAGGAAGTGCCAACACACACGTGTTCAGGGGCAGGACTGCACAGATGGGCACTAGCAAGGCCGTGGACTGCAGCATCAACGACCTCATCTGCACACAACACAAACCGCCAAGGGTGAGAACAGTCTGCACACAAACACAGTACAGCACTGCTGAATAGCATGTTTATTCACTGAATGTGTACTGACAGATACATTAATCGACAGTTTTGATTATTTGTTAGATGCTGTCGGAATATTAAGCAATGTAAAGGGTTAATTTTGGGCTGTTGAAACTAGCGGTGGACCTTTCAACTAAATTATTAGTTCAATGAAAGAAAATCAAGTATTTGTTAGCTGCAACCCTTTTACCAGATGCTGTGCACCTGCAGTTGTCGAGGAAAAATTCAGTCAGGCGGGTGGCAGACTCTCAATACTTGAATGCAATCAAAGTTTTTCAGCAGGGTCCCTATAAATAGTTTTCAAGCAGTGATAGTTAAATATATTCCCGGTAAATAGGACATTAAGCATCACTTTCATGTTTCTCCCTGTGGCTTTCTGCAGGTTTTATGGTACAAGAACATGTTGAAACATCACCTGATTTATTAAATATTTATTGTTATCTGAGAAAGTGGTTTTTAACATTTATTTATTCAGGGAGGTTTCACCGAGGAAATCTCTCTTACATTTGCACAGTGTTGATGTCTATCCACTCTGTGCCTAAAATATGGTTCAAGCAAAATGTTTAGTATACATGTAAAGGGTCTGGGAGGTTGAATAATTCTTTGGGTTGATCAAGGACCATCAGGCATTTTACATTGCTGCATTTGATGTGATGCTATTCAAGCCAGGTTCTAATGAAGGGAAAAAAAACAAAAAGTTCTCAAAGTATCAATTTATCTTCAGTACTATCCACACTTGAAAAATAGTTTTGGTTATGTTTACTGAAAGTTTGACATAGAATTTTGTTTATGACGGAACTATTGCAGCAACAAGGACACTTTCCAGATGAAATGTCCTGGCCAGTTTTTGTCAATAAATACAACCTCAACCATGAACTTTTTATATTTTTATTTGGTTGAAAAATAGCTTCTGAACTCCTGACAGTTAAGTCAATGTGTCATCATCATTAACAAGAGTTAAGGCCACTGTGTTGAGTTTCTTTGAGGTGCAGTTAAGTTTGATTGATTCAGCTAAAACACATAAAACATGGCTTAATAGCAACAACATTAAACAAATGCACAAAATTATAACTCAGGGTTCATAGACCAAACACTTTTCTTTTGCTAGACAGGTTTTCCCCACAAATACAACATGCTGAACTTACTGGCATAAGCCTATGATATTTTACATTGCATACAAAAGCCGAGTGGCTAGTGGACTGTTCTTTACTAGTGTAAAGCTGGGAACAACAGCAACATTTTACAAAAGTGACATTACAAAATGTGGCTTCATTCACATAAGGTTCACTGACAAAACAATTGTCCCATACTAGACATGTTTACCCCACATATACAACATGCTAACATTATTAGCATAAGCCTATTACATTTACTGCTGCATAAATTGACCCTTTACCAAGTCCCACCCCTTGGACGCAAATTGGCCAAAAATTGCGCAGCATCAACCAGCTCCAACAAGGGTCCAACAACAACACGGCTGTACTCCATAGAATCTTGTGCAATATTTTAGGATTTCCTTCATTTTCAGGATGGTTTTTGCTGATTTCATGCTAAGCGTTGTGCCTGGGACTCTTGTTATAATGATTCCTGTTATCCCAAGAGGTTTGAAGGAGATATACCTTTGTTCCCCATTCCAAAACCAAAATCAAACCCTGAAAAGTGTAGGGTTAGCTAGCTAGCTACTGAGGGTGTAGCTCTGAATGTATGTACATGTTTCTTATGGTTGTCAAAGATTGTAACAGTGAAAAAAAAGTCTTCCCTGTCCTACAGGAACCAGTTAAGGGAAGCAAGGAAACTTTGTCGATATTCATCCAACTGTGTGTCATCGCAGTGTGTGCAGTTGAATGGTGTTTGGCTTCCCCCGGGGCTCCCCTCCCATCTGCCAGCAGACGGATGGCAGTGAAGGTCAGGTACTGTAGTTAGTGGCACGGGCGAGGAGCTCTAGGTGAAGCCAAACACCGTTCATCTGCACACACTGTGATGACACACAGCTCGTTGAATATTTTTTTTCCCTTTGTATTCATCGTCTTTTCTCTTGTGATGTGGTGGTTCAATTTACACTGTCAGCTGTATAGTTAGGCTTTACCTTCTATCTGTAGATTTTTATTTGCCGCTGAGTCAGTTTGACATATTTTCATGCCATGGATGAAAATAAGTACAATTTCTGGACCTCGGCAAATATAACTCCAAATTATATGCATGGCAAAGTTACAGGGGGCATATTTTGCATGTATGTTTTTGGGCCAACTTAAACACCACAAACAAACTGGTTTGGGTCAAAAAATGTGTATTGTTGCTATTACTACAATCAACCCAACTAGGGCTGGGCGGTACGACCTAAAATTCATATCACGGTATAAATCGAATCCCTTCATGGTAACGGTATATATCATGGTATAAATTTAAGTGTAAAAGTTCTAATAGACAGAAGTGTTTCTGAATGGGTTTGTAGTCCCTTAGCAAAGCTAAATTGATATTAAAAAAAATCCAACAACAACAAAAGCAAAGATATAATGTATTTTTTAAAGCATTTATTGTGCAGAATGCAGATCTCAAAACTCAAAATTAAAACCCAGCACTCTATGGTGCAAAATGTCCCCTGGGATCTATATCAAAAGGTGATTTCCTTCTTTTAGCAAAATCCTAAATTACTGAGTTGTGTTTTTTCCACCTGGACCTTTATGCTCTGCCATTTCTCCTCTAATCATCAGGCTGTAACCTGTGACAGGCTGTTATGATACCACAACTATCACACATTCACATATGGAGTTTTTTGTGGAGCCCCTAACGTCACATAGGTTTACATTACCAAAGGTTTATGACAAAATCTCTTGCCGAAAACCAACTCCCGTGTGCGCATGGCGAGAGAGGAGAGGAGAGGAGAGGGAGAGATGATGTGCTGCTGCCAGAGGAGATGCTGAATGAGTTCCCTCTGAGCGGTAAGTCGCTAAAAGAGTCTGAGAAGTCAGGGGCTGTTCATAAAACATTAACTCACTCACTCACAAGTTCTCCAGCAACACATGTTGCACGTGCTACACTAAATCACGGACGTGAACCAGCTCCTCTTGCTCCGCTGTCTCTGTGCTCGCAGCCATTTTCACACTGAGGCAGGTGAGATGACGTCATCGACGATAGGACGGTAGAGCGCAAATCTCTACTGTGGGCCAAATTTATATCATTTCTACCATCTACCGCATATACCGTGCAGCCCTAACCCCAACTGTACTTAAATGTTAATAGTTTGGAGGGATTTAAAATGACCACAGGGGGAGCTGTGGCGTTATTGACAAACTGTGATATCCATCCTGTGTTCAGGAGCTGTTGGGAACTACCATGAATTTCACCACCCCGGTGAAAGCGAGTAGGCTCAACCTCTCGTCTCTGTTGGCTGACCTCACACCCAACACACAGACTTGGAGCCGGCTCAAAGCTGCCCTCTCTGTTCATCGCAAGGGCTTGGGTAATACACACATGCTGTCCCATGTTCAGATTGGTCCCTCAATTGTTTGGGACATTTTTTAATTTCAAGCTTCCAGGACCAATTACCAATACTCTTATTATACTCTAATTGTCCTTGTCTCTTATCTCTCATTCTGTTTCCTCAGTGCTACTCACTCCGAGAAGTGGACATTTGTCGGGCACACCTAAAAGAGTGGAGTTAGCAGATGTCAGCCAGGACCTCTTTGCCACACCCTTTAAGACACCACTCTCCCGGCGCCTGCAGTCACAACTACATAGCCACTGCTCTCTGGTATAGTACACATGTGCAGCCATGAAAGAGTCATCATTTTTAAGTTTATGCTACTTTCTGCATGCTTGGTGTTTTACTGTAAATGGGTTGTTAAACTTGATAGGAACATGCATCACTTCCTCCCTCCTGTCTTTTGTCACAGAGTGTGTGTGAGGATGCAGATCTGTCAGATGCAGAGAAGGTGTATGCTGAGTGCGGCCAACAGCAGCCTCTGCCATGGGAGGAGTGTATTCTCCCACAGCGTATGAAAAAGTGTGTGAAGATAGGGGAGGGGACGTTCGGTGAAGTCTTCTCCACCACCAATGCCTCAGGAGACACTGTTGCTCTTAAGGTATGTATGTTTGTGTTTATCATGTGCATATATTAGGTTGTGTGTTAGATATCACAATGTGATATAAACCCTATTGCATCTAAAAGGAAAAGTTCATCCATAAAATTAGCATTTGTAAATCAGTTAGTCATGCTGCTACCTTGAATTTGTGGAAAAGATTTTCTTCTCGCATGCCTCTGCTGAAAATGGCGAACATATTGATTTATTGTTTGATTAGAGACCACATTTGTCAACAGCAAAACTATATCAAAACATCCATTAACAAACTCTAACACCGCTTGTGCAGTATAATCCAAGTCGCTAAAAAAACTTTAGTATTGGAGTCTGGCTTTGAATAAAGCATAGATAACTTTCACTTAAGTTCAGTTTTAAATACTAGGTTTAATAGGTTTTTTAGCAGAGATGCATGTGTTTGGGAAGCACTGAGCATACAACTGGATAAATGAGACTTGGATTATACTGTCGAGTTGTGTGTGAGTTTGTAAATGGGTGTTTTGATGTAGTTTTACTGCTGTAAAAGTGGTCCCCAATCAATCAACAGATCAACATCTGCCATTTTCTTGATGAATTCAAAGTAACAATTCATAACTAATTGATATACAGACAATTTGTGTGTGAAGTGTTCCTTTAAAGGCAAACTTTGGCATTTTGAAGTGAGGGTTGTATAAGTTACCTTTCCCTAGACAGTGTATAACCTACAGTAGATGGCTGTGGGTTAGTTTGGAGACACAGGCAGTAGTACCGCCACGGAAGCTGAGCAATGCACTGCTGCTGTGGACAGGGGCAGCAGCAAAACATATTTCAGCCACCCCAAAAATCAATATCTGTTTAAGTGTATGCTATATTTAGAATATTTTCATAGCTCTACCTTACTGGCAGACAGCTCTTTCCTATGGGTAGCTGAAGCCGTTATATCACTCTAGAAAGCCATCACACTTCATTCCTGACGAAAACAGTCATTTTTAGGGCTGGGATGACATGCTTGTCTCCCAATTCAATACTATCATGATACCTGGGTGCCAACTTGACATTTACTGTAATTTTTAAGTACTGCCATTTGATATTAAGATTTATTGAGACACGTTTAGAGACTGTGTATCAGACGGAGACATATTTGCAAAAAACAATGCATATCTGATGTCACTCGGTCTTCCTGTTATTTCAGTAGCATCATATGTTCTAGAGCTTTTGACCATATTTCATGGCTTTTTTCAGTGAATGAAATTTGCTCAGGTTTCATCACAGGACATGAGTAATGAATTTTGGTCACATGTAACAGGCATTTGTAGTTATCATGTGATGAGACCTGAGCTTATGGCATTTGCCACAAAAGGAGAGTGAGGAATGGTTGAAAGCTCTATGGAAGAAAACCAGTAAGTGCACCTTGAGTTGAAAATATTTTGGAGTGGATCTCCATACTCAGGACTGTTATCTTAAACTGAGAAGAGAACCATAGCAAAACAATGCAAGGCATTTTGCTTGAGCATGCCAAAGTGCCAAGAGACCACATAGTAACTTAATAAAAAATGTGTCTTTTTCAATGCACATATGTGTGTACGTATGTGTGTGTATTCTGCAGTATAACAATAGCTCTTGTCTTGACAGATCATTCCAGTAGAGGGCAGTGAGAGGGTAAATGGAGAAGACCAGAAGACCTTAGGAGAGATTCTCCATGAGATTATTATCTCAAAGTAAGAAGTACATGGAGGACAAACACTGCACACCACACCTCTCCATTTACTGGGAAACTATAACATAGGAGGGTAGCCATAAAGTCTGAATGTTTCAGTTAAGTGATACGTGATGAGCCTTGGAAACCTCTTGAGAGTAGTTGAGCTAAACAGTGTTATTTGATTTTTCTTCCAGGGAGCTGAGCAGCCTGAAAGACAAGCAGCAGAACAAAACTCAAGGATTTATTGGACTCAATGAGTAAGAAACCCTCTCTAGTCTTTGTCTTTTTGTCTGTTAGCTTGTGTTATTGTGTCTGAGTGACTAATGGGAGCAACAGTTTTTGAAAGTGGTCTGGTATTGAGCAAAAGGGCTGCAGCCAGCATCCACAAAACAGACTGCAGTGTAGCCACTCAGGGCGTTTGTACACCATCAACTTACATCCCCTTAAAGTGTTTGATTTTGCCACTGACAGGCAGACCTTTTTAAAAATCAAAATCCTTTATTGTTTAACCAGAAACAGCCCCAAAATAGCCATTGCCAAACCCACCAGACTGCATTTAACTAAAGGGTAAGTAATACCTGTATAGAGTCAGTGTATTTGTATATGTAACTGTGTGATATAAGGGTTTATTTCAACCAAACCAGAGTTGGTGATTGTTGGAACAGTGGGAAGATCAACCAAAATGGCTATTTTGAGTTTTAGTTTGTTTCTGCTGACTTTGATTGATGTGTGTTTCATGATGATTAAATTAGTTTATTTAAATGGAGTCTGGTGGGTTTGGCAAGAGTGATTTCGGGGCTGTTTGTGGTTAAACAAAAATGATCTTACAATTTAACGAAAAGGTCTATAGAGATACTTTGAATAATGTTGTCACTTAGAAAAACAATCTGATCCGCCAGCGGTAACAAAAGCACTCTAAGTGGATGGTAACTGACAGTACACAAATGCCCTGAGTGGTTACACTGCAGCCCTTTTTTGCCGCTGTTGGACCAATTTAAAAAAGTGATGTTTCCATTAGCCTTTTAGACACAAAAAACATTGGGAAAATTGGGGCCAGATTGAAATATACAGACTTTACCCTTTAATGTGATTTGACTTGTTTCCTCACAGCCTTCACTGCGTTCAAGGCTCCTACCCTAAAGAATTCCTGAAGGCCTGGGACACCTTTGACAAGCAGAAAGGCTCTGAGAACGACAGACCAGGTCAGAGAGAGAAAAACCTGTTCATGTTTGAAAACATGTCTTTCAAGCTGGCTGATCAAACTCAAAGAGACTTTTCTTTGTTTCATATTAGCCATTTTACAGTGGGCAAAAATCCATGCATCTATGAACAGGCTATGTGTTTGTGTTTCATCTGGTCTGTTTTACTCTCTTGGCTTAGATTTCTTTGAAAAGGATCAATTATTCATAATCCTGGAGTTTGAGTTTGGAGGCAGTGACCTCGAGAACAGCAATGGAACGGTAGGCACACCACATCAGAATGACGGCTGCGTGATACCTCCATTGTGCAGTACAATGTTTTGCAGTGATGTAGAGCATTATCAGTCATGTCAGTGACTGCTCAATGAATCTCTCTAAAAGTAAGCATGAGTTTCAGCCCACGTAGGTTATTTGTTCAACTTCAAGTGTGGTTTAATTTCATATGGCCTGAAATTCTTTTTAACACATTGCAGCTGAGTGTGTCTGCTCCTTAACTTGTTCATATTCTTTCCAGTTTCACTATTGTAGCCAGAGTTTCAAGTACTGTGTCCTCAAACACAAGCACTATACTCTACTCACATTATGCTAGATTTAGCTCATAATACTTGCACACTAGCTGTAAAAATGTGCTCAAACTTTAATGACTGCATGCATAAAAAAATGGTCCCTTGAATTTAGTCATTACAACTTAATGTCAGTAAGAGCTTAAATATGTATGCTGGAGATAATGTTGAAAGATTGAAGAAGAAGCTGAGCATCTAACAGAAGTGCTGAACTTCTGACAATTCGGTGTATTAATTGGAAACACTATTTTTTCTAAACATTATCCTGTAAGTTGTTTTTTGTGGTGTGAGAGTACAAATAGTTTTTAATCAAAGCCTTTATTGTGTTGTCAAGTTGGCGTCTTTAGGGGTGGCGAAGAGCATCCTTCATCAGATCACTGCTGCCTTGGCTGTTGCTGAGCAGGAGCTCCACTTTGAACACAGGTAGAGTACATACACACACACACACACACACACACACACACACACTATAGCAGCTGTGACTGCCTGCATTCATTATAGGCTGTGTGCTCACCGAGCAGGAGGAGACACCACATATATTAAGTCTATAAAATGTCCATCACAGTTTCCCAGAAGCCAGAGTGAAATATTCAAATGACGTGTTATAGTGTTTCCTCCAGTAGACAGGCACATAGACAGGGGATTCGGTGTCCTGCTCAAGGGCACCTCAGTAGTGCCCAGGAGGCAAACTGGCACTACTAGTCTACCAGCTACTAGTCCAAACTCCATACTGTGTCCAGACAGAGAGAACTATGACTCACATGGGATTCAAACCCCAGTGTCCTGTGTGAAGGTTCTGTGCCTGACCCATTCATCCACCGTGTCTTCAGCACATTTTTGAGTTTTTCTTTTAAATTTACCACTTAAATCTCAGACAGTTTCCTCGATTGGCTAGTATTAGCCTTAACCATGGTCTCTTCGCCCTTATCCTAACTGCTTCTGATCTCAATGCATCAGTGTGACAAGTGCTAGACAGCACAGACGGGGATCCGTAATAATGCATCGTAGGAATGGATGTGAAGAGCCGAATAGCTGCAGTGTGAAAAGTTTGACGCGGATGCAAATAGTCACTCCATTATTTTTTTGTACTTTGAATGTAAAAAATGTGCCAAAGTGCAACATCAAAGAATAAAGTAATTTCTTTCACAATTTTGAGGAATTTCTTAAATAATAAAGGACACATATAAGTTTTATAATTCCTGTGACTATAATCCAATCAATCTAATTTCTGCCAGTGTGTTAGCCTATGTATACCTTAACATCTTATTTTGAAATGCAGTCTTAGTCACATGTGTATGTGTGTTTGCTATAAAGGTGAGCAAAACATTGTTATATTCTTTTCTTTTCTTTTTTTTTAAGATATTTTTTCGGGCATTTTTAGCCTTTATTTGATAGGACAGACAAGCCTGAAAGGGGGAGAGAGAGAGAGGGAGTGACATGCAGCAGGCTGGAGTCAAACCCGGGCCGCTGCGGCAACAGTCTTGTACATGGGGCACCTGCTCTACCACTAAGCCACCGATGCCCCACGTTGTTATATTCTTTGCTGAATATTTTGCAGTTGATTGACTTATTGATTAATGGCTAATGATTACAGCTATAGTTTCCATAAAGGCAAAGCTCATAATGACCACCTATGGATGTCTGTTTTTAATGGATCCATAGTGCTGATGTGTATCAAATTGAATAATGATACAAACAGCTTCCATAATACTGATAATTACTATAAAATGTAGCAAATAATAAACAACCAGATAAGATGTCAGAAATGTATTCAGTGTCAAACTTGTCTTGTAAGCTAATGCAGTGACACAGTTGGTGTATGTGTTGTCAGTGTGATGGATCATTTGTTGGCGTCTTGTTACAGCAACTTTACCCCCCTGTGCTGTTTACTGCAGGGACCTCCACTGGGGCAATGTGCTGGTCAAAACAACCAAGCAGAAGACAGGGAGCTTCCTCCTGAATGGAGCAGCCCACACTCTGGAAACTAAAGGGGTGCTGGTCCGCATCATTGACTACTCTCTCTCCAGGCTAGAAATCGGTCAGATATTATTTTCATGTTTTGTGCAGGAAATTTTCAGCCTTGTAAGAATCACAAAGATTAATAACATATGTTGTGTTCTCTTCAGATGATCTGACTGTGTCCTGTGATATCTCGACGGATGAGGAGCTTTTTATGGGCCAGGGAGATTACCAGTTTGACATCTACAGACTAATGAGACAGGAGAATGGGTCAGTGCATTTGTGTGTCTGTGCCAAATTCAGAAGCACCCAGTGTGCCGCGAAACTGGACTTTCCCTGTGCTATAAAGGAGTCACATGGAGCAGTTTAACAATGAACACATAAAAAGAACTATATTTCATCATATATGTATAATAAGAGGTAGAATGTGAAGGATATCTGAGTTAACATTGGATTTCTTATTGATTTGACCTGGGCTTGAATGTCTAGAAATACAAGTCCACTAAATTGTGTAGAAATTTTCTTATTATACACCCAAAAACTTCAGGCTTCACACAGTTCGAAATACTCAGTTTACTATGTTTTTCTACTTTTGCAACAAGCTGAATAACCGAAGGGTATATATATTCCAACAACTCCAACAACAGTCCAACTTCAAAAATAGACTATCAATGTGACGCCAGATGTTGATATTTTGGCAGGCTGTCTGAAATAAATGGATGTGTGGAAACCCTGTAATCACCAAAAATAAGACCTGTTTTCATTACCATACAATGAGCCATTCATATTTACACAGGGTGCGAGTCCTCATTTATGGTTATTGTCATGTTCATGTTGTTTCTACAGTAGCTCAGAAAGGACAAACCAAATGCTAGCTCTAGATATAGGGTTACTGGGAATGGGAAACCATTCGTAGTTTCGCGTTAGCCACCGTAGTTAAAGGCCCATCTGCAACAAGCAGTGTTCGGAAAACACTCAATTGTAAAGTGAAATTGCTTTATTCTGTGTTTTCACTGGTTTAAATCACCAGTCTGTTTGTTTTGGAGAGGAAGAGACCTCTGCTGATAATTAAGCTCCCAGTAAAAACCTCCTGAACAATGAACACTGAAGGAATTCTAACCAGGAGACCTTTCAGCTGGTTGCAGTCTGCAATCCTCACCACTGGACACCACTAAATCTTACACACTTCACCTTTAATGCATCTAAACATGTACTAGTAGAAACCCACAATACAAGGATGAAGCTGAAACTGAGTCTGACAGGTCCCCTTTAATAAGATGGATCTCAGCATACATCTATGATTTGTATTATGGGATATTTTTTCATTGTGATTTGTCTTAAAAGTGGCAACAAGTTTTTTTGTTTTGACGTATTATTATGAAGTAAATGTTGATTGCACAATGTAATGGCTATAGAATAATGACACCATTAGTGTTTAGACTGGCTCCCTCTAAGACTCACTTGCACTGAGCAATTCTGTCTGTCACCGGGTACAATCTTCCAGGAAATTGAGGCTACATTTACAGCGCAAAGGAAGTGCGTCAACCACTGCGCAAACAAATCAGAAAGAGGATACCGCTTTTGTTTTCCCTGTGAGCCATCGACAGCTATCCCCAGTTACCAAACCATATCAGTATGTAAGTTCTTCGCCATCACTATCCCCAGTAGTGGAAGTGATGGATGGTGGAACGACTAAAGTAACTGTGGAAAACAAAATGCAGTGTGTTGTTGGTAGTTGCTAGGCTCTGAGAAAAATGGAAATCGATGCGGTTGTCTTTGCGACAGCGGCACCCACAATAATACTGCTTTAAAACGCTGGGGGGGAATAGTTTAGAGGCATAGTTTGACATTTTGGGAAATATGCTTATTTGAGTGCTTGCTTTGACCTGGATCCAAAGATGGTACCATTCTCATATTTGTTAAATATGAAGCGAAAGCCAGTTAGCTTAGCTTAGCTTAGAGACAGGAAACAGAGGGAAACAGCTAGCCTGGCTCTGTTTACAGTTAAAGAAAAAAAAAATCTACCAGCACCTCTAAATCTCAAAAACCAAGGTTAAAAAATTATAAGTCATTGCTACAATTCTTCCTTGGGGACTGATCTAAGCTAAGTTAACTGTCTCCTGGCTGTAGCTTCATATTTATCTTCCTCACGTGATGCTTGTTTTTCTAATAGGCAAATTTCCCGAAATGTTGAAGTATTGCTTGAAACATAGATTATCAGTCTTTTTGTGAATAATTCTGCTTATGTGTTATATAAGATAATATACATATAAATGTATTTGTTAAAGCTGTGCTGCTTTTTCTCTCAGAAACAACTGGAGTAACTACCACCCCCACACCAACGTGCTTTGGCTCCACTACCTGTGCTCCAAGCTGCTTTCCATGAAGTACCGGACCCCAGGAGGGAGGAATGCCAAGGGCATGCGAGAGGAGCTCACTCGTTTCTATGACAACGTCCTCCAGTACGGCTCTGCCACTGAGGCGCTGCAGAACTGCCCCATGTTCCAGTAGTATGTGAGCACTGAGCACATGAAGTGTGAGGGTGCTCACACACAGGCTGTCCTTTGGTATAAAGAAGGTACAACATATCTGGTTTATCTTCAGTCAGCAGTCTGCCCGTCGTCCATGATGACCTCTGACACACAAAGACAGCTATTGATCTCCTTGTAACACAACAGCAGAGACGAAGGTCCTTTGATGTACAGTGCTTACAGAATTGTCATCTGACAAAAGTTATTAAAACATCCATTGAAAATCATGTATTCATGTGTCTTACATTTTGATTTTTAGGCTTACTGCGTATTTTCATGACTGATTAGGTCCACTTGTCATTTGTATAAATACTAACTGCATAAATACTGTTTATATGCAGAAGAAAATATTCTTAATCAATAAATTTTTTGCAGTTTTTTAACACTATTTGAAAGTTGTATTGTGAGTAATTTAGATTAGTGCTGAGGTGATTTGTTGATTTATCAATAAGTCGATTGACTGAAAATCAATTTTCTAACTGTTTTTATAATGGACTCATTCATATATTAACCAAAAATACTCTGGTTCCAGCTTCTTATTTGAGCAGTTACTGCTTTTTCAGGGTCAAACAGTATCTTTGTAAACTGAATGTCTTCAGGTGTTATGAGCCAGGTGATGGCAAAGTGCCTGTTGTGTGTGTTTTATCTTCCCCCCTGCTTTCCTTTCTCTCTGCCTCCCCCCTGGTTTCTCTCCAGGTGCTAACAACCTGATTGCTTTCCACCTGTGCAGCCCAGTCATGCTGCTCATTGGTTCCCTCAGACTTGCAGTTGGCCTGTCATCAGTCGTTGGCGCTCAATAAAAGAAGCACGCCTCAAGAGTTCACTCTCTCTTTGTTCCCTGCTCTTAGCCTGAGCTGCTGTTGTGCTGTGTTGAGCCAACTTGTTCAGGTTATTAGAAAGAGCCATGTGGTGGGAGGTGAGGACAATAGGTGAGTTTAATACACTTCCCCCTCATGTAGTCAACTTTTGTCTAGAAGCACAAGGATTATTGTTTGGTGCCACCTCTGCGTTTGTTCTGGTGAAGTTCTTTTGTTTGTTTTTGTTTTCAATAGTAGAGATTGGTCAGGTCTAGTTTTATTGATTTCTCTTTGTTTGGCACGACCACCTCGCTCCGTCCTCCCCCACATTTTGAGAACCTTGTGTTATTTTTGGTGAACTGAAAATAAATCTCTGGTATTGTCACTTTCACTCTGACTCCTTCACATTGTTGGCCTGTTTTTCAAAAAGAGGATTGATTTTAAAAAAAGATGTGAGACTCCATCTGTTGAATGAAATCTCAGGGTCAAAATATATGATTGTAAGCCTCTTGTACAGGTTGGAGAGAGTTTGACAGCTATGGAAGAATAAAATTCCTTCAATACATCTAATAAAGGTCTGAAAACATGAAAATTTCAGTTTCCCTGTTTGGGATCATTGAAGTTTATCTTATCTCAGGATTAAGCCTTATGATAGGGCTGGACAATATCACTTTTTTTGTCACAGGAAATCAAAATATGATCTCAGTGAAATGTGTTTGTCAGTTCCATCAACCTGTATATTCAAAATGGTGTAGTCAAATAAAAGTCAGTGTTTGGGATTTGGCAGCATCATCATTCAGTATCCTTGTGGCTTGAGGCTACAAGCTCCTCCTGAGCCTCCGTGCTGGCCTGGGGCCATATTCACAAAGCTTCCTGGTACAAAGAGTTGCTCCTGGTGACAGGAGTCTAAGAAAATTCTTAGAATTGTGATGTTTTCTTAGAATTTCCATTTAAAGTTAAGACTTGGTCCTTGTAAAGATTAAAGTTATTCACTGAGCATCGTAGAGAGCTTAAAAGAGCTCCTAAGGTGAAAAACTGTTAGGAGCAGGGAGGAGGACTTTTAAGAGGCTTCAGAGTTTCTTAAACAGAGAAGAAAATGGAAAGACAATGAGGTCAGAGAAATATTCTCCAAACATAAGGGATAATGTGTGATTGATCTCATTAGGAATTTCCCACACACATTTCCCACCTAATGCTATAATGCCAGAAATAAGATGATCACAACAAAACTGGAAAAATGCAACAGTGCAGCAGTGATGACTTGAGTCTGTCTTAACCTTCCATCAGCAGAGTGATCACACTGATAAAGACAACACTGTCACAGTCAGCAGTTCATTTCATTTCCACTGGGTGCCCACACCTTGTTGGCTCACAAACTGGGGTGTCTGACAACCAATCACATCTGTTAGAATGTGTCATACCTAACAATGGGGTCAACCCCACCTCATCACTAAGGTAAAAGTTTCTGTCCCTTCCTTGTTCAGAGTTGCTCTGAGAACTTTCCTAAATCACTCCTAAGCTAGGACTCTTAAAAGTTTTAGGCTCAGTTAGGAGCTCTCAGAGTATACTCAGAATGTTTGTGAATACGGCCCCTTGTGTAACCAGTACCTTCTTCCCGACCTCAGCAGGGTGAAAGGCAGTTATCCAGTTGGCTGGGATGTTTTATGATTCTCCTGGCCTTATTTTTGCAGCATCTGGTAGAGCAGCGCCTATAGTGTGTTCAGCTGAACGAACCAGTCTTTGCAGGGCCTTGCAGTCCTGTTGTGTGCTGTTTCCTACCAAGCAGTGATGTTTCCTGTCAGGATAATGTCGATGGTGCAGGAGTAGAAATTCCTGAGAATTTGAGGGGGATACCCAGTGAGTAAGATTCTTTACTTCTCTAAGGTTGGCCTTTTAATTGTTAGCTGTGATCAGGCCCACCACAGCTGTGTCATCAGCAAACTTAATGATGGTGTTTGAGTTTGAAGTGGCTACACAGTGTGTGTGTGTGTGTGTGTGTGTGTGTTTGTGTGTGTGTAGGGAGTACAGCAGGGGGCTCAAAACACAGCCCTGGGGTGCTCCTGTGTTAACGATGAGGGTAGAGGAGGTCTGTCCGCCCACTCTCACCACCAGGGGTCTGTATAATACACATCTATCGTGATATGAGACTAGATATTGTCTTAGATTCTGGATATTGTAATTTCGTACGTGTTGTCCATGTCTGTTTTTAAAGACTGTGTTACAGTAAAATTATGTAATTTTCTGAACTTACCACATTGTTGTAGCTGTTCTATTATTTGCCGTTAACCACTTGGTCATTATAGCCACATTAGTCACCCCCTAAAATGTCATTGTAACATCAATATTTATCAATACATTTGGTCAAAAATATTGTGGTATTAACTTTTTCCATATCACCCTGCCCTACAATATGACATAAAAAACATATAAATCATGAGACATACTATTTATACTGTGGAATATTAGGCCAATGTGGACGAGGTCACAAATCACTGCTTATGCAAAATTGAGTATGAGCAATAAATCTGCAATTTGTCAGCAGAAACTAGCTTACTGCTGGTTGGTATTGGTGTACATTGTATGTTGGCCAATAAGATATAAGAGTTGGTCAGTGTACCATTATTGGAATTTTTTGGAACTCCCAAATATGTGTTAGTGTCAGCATCAGTCAGGCTACAATGATAATTTGGGATATTTACATGATTTTTGCTTCAATGTAATGAAGGTGTTTGATTCATGAGCTGTGAGCGACATTCCCAACTGGTTATTTTATCAAACTTTTCGAATCAATTTTAAAAGAAAATTTACAATGAAATAAACATAAAACATAGACAGTCCATCTTCATCCTTTCAAACCAATGATACAATTTGCATGCAGTCCTGTGCTGTGTTCCGAGCCCCATACTTTTTCTGTTTACTTCAAATCTGGCGCTACAGACTGCCACAGATATATGAGCAAAGAGGGTCAAAGTTCAAGGTGCAACATTATGAAGAAGTATTATGTCCTAATTGTATGCACACTCCATGCAAACAGTATGTACTTTGTAAGGTATCTGCAGAACATACTGAATGTAAAAAGAAAATGTGATTTGGAGCTCAGTGTCTTTCTTTTGTTACACCAGTGTACAAAGACAGAAGCACTTACAAAAACAAAATATTTTATTCAATTTGTTCATTAAGATTATCATACATTTTTGCATTGAAACAAGCTTCATTTTGGTATGGTGGGTCATGTGTGTCCGTTTTGACGAGGATCTTGATTGAATATGTCGAATGCTTCCATACTCAAAGAGACACTTGGTTGTTGACTTAAAGAAATGTACGTTGGCTTGGAATAATCGTGTGACGAGATTAGAGCAAAGGTTGCATTTTTTTTTTAAAAAAGGAAGACTGCTTTAAAAAAAAGATATGGAGACATTAGAAACTATACAAACAAGATCCAACAGGCCTATGTTCTGAGAAGAGGTCAGGCATGTGTTTGAGAAGCACTTTTTGGTTGAGCTTTGAGGCAATGTTTGAGATGGCCTTGCTGGTGATGAGCCCATATGTTTGTCAATGTGGTTATGTCTGTTTCTGTGTGTGTGCCAAAGGTTTTGTGTGTATGTTTTTGTGTGTATGTAGGAAGCAAACGGATGTGTATAAGAAGCAATGAACTGTTTATGAGGAAATGTACTTGCAGCTGCTATGTGTGTGTGTGTTTGTGTGTTTTTGTGCTCAGAAGGAGAAGTATTTGGTGAACCACTCCTGTTTTAGCCCCTCTGTCCCCCTCTGCTCCAGATACGGGCCCCTAAAAACACACAGGAAACACATACAGTGAATATTTGAGCAGTATGCTAAAGTTCAGATGATTGTGCTTTTTTTCCGAAACTGGGGAAAAACTGAGTGGGAAACACCTGTTCCAGTGAGGTGTTGGTTTGCAGGTAGAAAAAAAAGGAAAGGTGCATACTCACAACACAGATACATTTATTTCAATGTATTTTCTTCAGGATGACACACCACAATCACCTGACTGGCATTCATAATGAGACAACTGTGTCAAATTAGGCCAGTCAACTTGAGAGGCCATTTGAGGGAAACACTGAGGCTATTCAGATTTACATTTCCATGTATGGCTGCATTAAAAAAAAATCAAAATAACAGTACCCTTAAAGTGATCCCAGTATGAATAGAATACTTCTTTCTTCTCCCAACACTCTTCGTGTGAATGGAAGCATTGAGTTCTGTAAAATGCAACCTGACACCACAGGTGTGTAGTGTCTGGTGACATTTTTGTGAAGAGTTGAACGTTCCGGTGGCATCTCGGCACACTGAACTACCAACTCCGTCAAATACACCAAGCTCGACTTAACCGCATCACAGACTGTATGGGCTGTAGCTGAATCAAAGAACACTTGCGGTGATTGGCTGCAAGCAAAAACCATACAAATAGTCTTTGTTTTTTTTTTAGATCTAGGTACAAAAAGATTTGAATGCAGGTATCGATACTACTTTGTACTGGGTTATTTCAGTCGAAGGTATCGAATACTGAAACCCAGCCCTATTTCCGTGTGTGTGTGTGTGTGTGTGTGTGTGTGTGTATATGTACTGTATATGTTGTCAAGAGACAATAACTCTGTCCAGTCGCAAGTGTCCCTTATTAGCTTTTATACCGTTGTATCTATTGTGCAATTGTTCTCCTTACATTTTTTTATTGTCGATTTATTTGATCACACAGTCACTTGAAAGATATTTATAGAGTTACATAGTATAGTACAGTTTTCCTAACTGACCTATAATATTGAATTTAAGCGTGAGGATATGTTGTATTTTATGTAGGTGGTGGACTGGAGTCAAGTCATGGGAGTCACAAATTTGAGGACTTGAGACTTGCTTGAATAAGTCGGCTTGACAGATGACTCTGAAAGACTTGACTTTTGCTTAATTAAATATTTGTATTTTTCTCAACACTGAGAGGTTATGTTTTGTTTTTGAAACATGATTGGGTCATTTCTAGTGCGTTGTGCTTAAACCTGGCAACTTACTAGAAGGCCAATATATGAGGCAGCCATGATGGAAAGAGCTCGTCCTAAAATAATGAAATGTGGATTCCAGGATTAGCCCATGTTGTGGATGACGGTGGTAAGAAGTGAACAGCAGTATGCAAGGGCTGCAGCTCAAATCAGTGACACAACCAACACAACTTAATCTGTCACTACAAAACCCAGAAAGAAAGGTACATGAATATGACTTATTGGCTAACATATTAGCTTATCTGCTAACTTATTAGCTTGGCTGGTCAAACATTAGCTAGCTAACATAAGCAGGCTGTAACAGTTTTCATTAATATTGAAAATAAAACTCAACCTTTCATGACCACTGTCTGTTTAACTGATTTAAATGTGGAAACTGGGG